AGCACATTCAGAGCAGAAAAAGTTAGATTCACACTTACATGTAACGCATATTATCGCACATTTAGTTCCAATATGTTTTCCAAAGATATCTCTATCTACTTTGTTGGCGTAAATCACGGTTTGTTTGCGTGCGTGCGGATATTGTATTTGTGGGCTTGTACCCTAAGGGTAGTGAATCTCATTTTATGTACGTACACCAGAGAGAGAAGAGTGTGCGTTATTGAATCTTACTTGTCATCTTGTTCCATTTTCAGAAAAGGTACACATTAACGCCATCCCCATTTTTTATTTTGGCTGTAAGCAGTGCTCATTTACTTTGTTATATATGCTGTTTGCACACTTTCAGGACATTTTCACCATTCCATAGCACGTCACAACATATATTGTCTTTTTGTCGGAATTTTATTATCATCTTGGCTAACCAAGCATTAAGCAACGAGTGGACTTCCTTTGATAAAAATAACAATACCCGTCAAGCCAGTGCTACAAATGCTAATAGGCTTTCCGCGTTGTTCTGTAGGATATTGTGTAGGGATTTGGTGGTTGTTACAATATTTGGAAGAGTGTCGTTTTTAAGCGCTTGTTCCGTAAAACTTGCTGGATGATCAAAGTGCCTTGGCCATGGAGAATCGAACTGTGAAAGAGGCATCTGTTGAGGGTGTCCAGCGACGGACCCACCCCAAGAAACATTTTGTAAGTCTCACATCGACGCAATGCGTAGATGATTATTTCTTGCTAGAGAAATGACTTGTTTTTACTTAACAAGTAATTTAAAAAATAGATAAGTAAAGAGCCTTTCTTTTTCTTGTCGAATGTCAACCGTTTGGATGGGAAACAAGACGGGAACTACTACTATTCGCGTACAGATTATTTCTGGGTTCGGTTGCTTCACAAAGATCCGTAGTAGCAGTTGTTACGATCTCTGCTATGCATGGTATTTGCTTTTTCAACATGGACACAAGTAATACACGAAAAATTCACATATGCAAATAATGTATTACTGTTCCTTAACAAAAGATAATGGGATAGCTAAACGAACAAAATGGACCCCTAACTGTAATTTCTTTAGTTAAAAATTCTTGCGATGGTCGGTCGCTTAAGGCTAGTGAACGCTAACGCACGTAGAATTGCGTGGTAGCTTCTAATGTTAATTTCTGGTCTTGCTTAGTCGAATTATTCAGGGAAAATTATGTATGTCTTTCAATTACAGAAACTTCTATCAGAATGTCCGTCAATTTTGGATTTTAACAGGCTTTTATAGCGATAAAAAACAATATTTTAAACATATGAAGGCTCTCACTTGTAAGAGGTAAATATGTAAACATACGTGTGGTATGAAATCGTGTTTCCGGATTTAAAGTATACATACTTCAGCGAATCTATCGGTATTACTAGCACTAGAATAACACTACCCACCGAATTCCATAACTCTAAAAAGCAAAGTCAAAGAACTTGCTAGGTTTAGGAGCTTCTGGGAAAAATGTCAAATAAAAAATAATAATAAAAAAAACATTTCTTGAAACTCGATTTATTTATCTATCCTAAAACCCCTATTTACTGTATTTGTGTCAACGGGGTTAAGTTGTAGTAAGATTTCTTGCAGTTATGATTCTTTAGATTTTGTAATTTATTTAATGGCTGTTTTATTTAAGCCGTTTGCCTTTCATTTTGTGCAGATGTTTTGCATCAAGGTTTCATGGTCCGATGGTACTGTGAATCTAGTTTACAGGAGATACAGCGAGTTTCTACATCTACAGGTATGTAGACAAAATCATTGTGATATTCCTGAATTACATCCCATGATAACAAGGAAACTAAAATTTAAAATGATTGTCAAATGATTGTCAATCAATTATGGCGACGCACGAAGGAAAATAACACTGATGTCAAATCTGTAAGACAAGGAATGTTTTTATCACACTGGATATCCTTAATGGTAGACTTGGTAGCCCTATTCATTTCCGCGCAAAATGTTGCAAAAAGTGCTTATGTATCGTTTTTGACAGAGAAGTTCCGGGAAAAACCCCTTCATCAATCGCAAATGATAGGCGAAAGTGTCTTATGGTGTAGGTGCGCGTGAAAATGCTACACGTGCGCGTGCGGTTTTTCATTGAAACAGTCTCTTTCGTTTATTTTGGACAGAAAACGTCGTTAAGAAACCTCTGCTTTTAAGTTCTCATTAACCATAGTTTTGTGTATAAGAAGTTTTGAATTTATGTTCCTTTTTATCGCGAAGTCAAATACGCAAATTAATACATTTAGTAAGCTTAAAATCAGAGGAAAGGAACCACCCGAATACAGCCGTTTTTTTCTGCGCATCAAAACCGTGGAGGGAGATCCCAGTAAATGTATCTAGGCCCGAAATTTAGTTCTTGCCATGCATCAATTATCGATCAACTTCAATCTGCTCACTAGAATAAGTTCTCACGGTTCAGAAGGCATTACCGCCTTATTGCTCGCCCCATCATGTGATAATTGATGCCGTGTTGTTTCATTTAAGCAAATGGCTGTAATACTGGTGCATAGTTTTCACATCAAGTGTATTTTGCACGTTTAGTAAAAACGAGCCATTTTGTTTTTCTGTTATAAAATGTGCATTCTGCTTTCCTTGCATTAGAACTTGATTTTTTTCTTTTGCTCCAAATTAAGTTAACACATTTAATTCAAATTAGCAAGCATAAGTTATGAATGTTTGCTGCACTGATTTGTTGTGATCACGGGCTCCAAAGAGTGAAGATCTTTTTTTATTTCCCTCTCAAAACCTGACTAGACAAAGACAAATGTTAACAAAACCTTGAAAACCTTTTTCTCGTCATGTGCTAACTGGTACCTATTCCGGAGACTAGCTTTTATCCGAAACGAACATCCACATCAGTTTGATATATTTGGTAACAGCCTGAACTAAAATAATGAATATATCTGACTGGTAAAATAATGTTGTTGTGTCTGTAAATTCCCAAAACTTACACTGCAAGAGATGTATAGAAGTCATTAAAGAGAAAGGAAACTTCTATCTTCTAGATTACCCGAGGCATGCATGAATCATTGCACGTCTGAATCAAAACACCCAAAATGTTAAACACGTTCAAATCCGAGACATTTTGCACCAGGAAGAATCGAGGGCATTGTTTCTGAAATGCTCCCCTGTCGGTTTATTTCAATCAACTTTGCATTAATACATTAAAAACACAGAATTGCTCAATAAACGCTATTCTGAGACATGTCGGCGTTATTTCGTCGCCATTGTCAAATGCAAATTTGTAAGTCTTACGTTTTGCGTTTGATAATTGCAACAAAATGACGCCCAAACGTCATGAACCAACGTTTGTATTTCTTTTAAAATGTTTTTATATGTACCCTTTGCATTTATACTTTTAAACAATTAGTAAGCTCAGCTCATACACCCTGCTGTTTCGTAGGATAGTTTTATTAATAAACATTCCAATGACCAATTGTCATCGTCGAGGGCTGTTTTACATAACTATCAAATTCTAATTATAACTTTGTATAAGCTAATAAGGAACAGTGTAAGCCACGCTAGTCCGTGAATCACGTTTTGACTGGCCATCTCGATAGCAAGACAGCAATACCCTTTGTTCTAAGTTTTGTAAACTTGTTCAGCGGCGCGTAACAGGCTTCATGAAAAACAAAGAAAAAATACCATCTATTATCTCAAATCAAGGAACATTTAAATTTAGATCGATCACACGGTTAACGAGGGGGTGTGTGAGGGGCATCAAGAGGGGTGGGGGCAATTAAAAAAACAGCCTGAATTGCCAATGGAAAAGAGAAATATACTGTCAAAGTCTGTTTTAATGTGAGGATCATTCCGAAAAAATTGTATTGATTGTACAATAGGCTGCTTTGCTCTGAGCCCCTCGCCCTCACACATATTAAGCAATGTGTGATAAATAGACCTGGTTTATGGCTAAAACGTGATTTACACTTCTAACACGTGCGATCTATAAACCATTATAATTTATATGCTGCGACTGTGAAATCTTATGAATTTTTGTACTTTCAATGAATTTTATTAAATTTTCTTGCAGTCACTTTACTTTTTTAGATATTTTTTTGACCAGTTTTGACTATTTCTAATCATTTTTGGTGGAATTTCGCTTTATAAAAACAATTAAGTTCGAGAAGGCGGCTGCTGATAAATAATGGCGTAATTTATTCGTTAAATGACGTCATCGTTTCTTGTTATACACACACCCACACCTTGGAGGGAAATATTTTTAGATGTGTCACAAATCATCCAAGTATTACCGCCATAGCTGTAAAGGATAGGAAAGTATCACTTAAATCAACTTGCTACAAGTACTTAAAAATATGAAATCTGCAAAGAATCAAAAACTCGTTCGCGTATTATCATATGTGACAAATTACTCCTTAACAGACCGTTTTCGTATTCTCGGTATCGAACTGAAACTAGCTTGCAACTGAGACTAATGCGGGGAGTCTTTTCAACTGCAAATGACCTTGGTCTCTTTTTAATGACATTCCCCCGCGTGAGCCTCCATTACAAGCTAGTTCTATTCCAATACCGAGAACACCAAAATGGTCTAAATGGCGAAATTACAGCGCTAATTTATAAATTTACGTGTGAAATTACAAATTTTCCATGGCAACGTTTGGCGCGAGATTTCTCGATGCAATAAACAAGTCAAAACCCCACGATTGTAAGAGCAATTTGTCACTCACGATATTAAAAGGTAATCAAATGGCATTCTTGTGAGCGTTTCTACAAATATCACGTAAAACCGCCTAAATGTCTTTCCGGAAATTCTCAAAAAAAAGTCGAAATATCACAATTTTTTTCTTAAATATCTCGAAAAACCCTCTATATATCTCGTATTTTTTTTTGGTAAAAATACACTGAATTTGAGTCACGTAGGCCAAAATTTTCAAAAATGTTCTTGCAGTAGTCGGAGTTGAGGAAGAAGATTCAGGCATGTCGATGTTATCAACATCCGCCATTTTGGAAAATTGCTACTTTAGCTCTTTTAGTGATATGAAATACATTTTTTGAGTGGGAAATTGTTGAACTGGATTGTTTCTGGCATAGAACTAAGTATTGTTTCAAGAAAATAGCAAGGAAAACGCAGGGCTAGGCCAAAAACAGCTATAAATATTTCTAAATATCTGGTTAAATTTTCTAAATATCTTAAGACTTTCTACATATCTCGCAAACTTCTAAAGATCCCAAGAAATATCCCCATATTTGTGGAAGCGGGCCTACATACTCGTGAAATAAGGAAATAATTTCACTTAAGCTTTCTCAAAATTCTAATAATTTTCGTTGCCTGAAGGCTCAGGAAATTATATAGAGGATATTACATGGTGGCGAGAAGATATGAATTTTATGTTCTCGTGGCAAGAACAATGTCTCACTCGTTCGCTTCGCTCACTCGTGAGATATTGTTCTTGCCACGAGAACATAAAATTCATATCATCGGGCCAACGTGTAATGTTCTTTTTATTATATGGAGAAACCAATTCAACAAAAGCAAAAGGCGGGAATCGTGANCGTATGGAATCTACGAGTGGTTTAGTTCCCAGTAAAACACTCTTCTCCATATAATAAAAGAAATTATTTCCTTATCTCACTCGACCATCGGATCACCCATACTAATACAGACTGTTTGTGTTAGTAACTGTGAAGTGTTGTGGTAACTACTTCACCTTTACGTCATTGGTCTATAATTGCTGAAACCCTTTAGCTGAAGGAAATGGAAACTCGATATAATTGAAACTGGTATTTTTATAACTGAAACGTCAAAGGTTACCTAGAAGTATAGTATTAATTCATTTCCTTTTATTAAACACGTCCGTGATTGAAACGTGACGATGCCGCAAATTTCCTTTTGAGATAAAATTAACATTTTCCTGTCTAGTAAATTTCATAACAAAAATACAAGTACTCTTCGACTTTACTGCAAATCATGATAAGCGGTGTATTCTAAGAAAGTTTAGCCATAACTTGAATATGTGTCTACAGACATTGGTCTGGTAGACTAACAAATACTGAAGTAGCTGATCATGCCAATTCAGCTATGGGCCATAAAAGGTCGGTAGGGAACTTCTTTGGTGTTTTTAACTTCCCATCAATTGAAATCAACAGTTGTATACTTTTCGCTATTATTATTTTAGCGGTGTTTCCTAATAAATGCGTCATAAAACTAACAGCAGAATTTTATTTTTCCTCTCTAACTAAAATAATGCATAATTTTGAACGAGTGTGTTGAGATAAATAATAATAATAATAATAATAATAATAAACTTTATTGCGTACCTTTTCATACAAACTTGAATGTTACATGTATCTAGTAAAAAAATTCAAAATTCTGGTGTTCCGTAATTTTTTTCCCTAAAATAATTCTTGTAAAACAATTTCAATAGCCTACCTACATAATTATACTCTGTAAGCATTTACAACCATTATAAGTGGCTATGTACACAAGTGAAGGTAAATAATAATAATTAGCATATAGCACACAAGTGAATAGTACTTTTCGCGCGCTCTGATTGGTTAACTCGGAGGTGATTAGCAAGTACTACTCACCTCCGAGCGGCCGGCGCGAGAGATTTTAAATTTTCGATCGCTTGTCACACAAAATAACGGTTTGGTCCGCTAATTATTCAGCTTGTGTGGTATATACTAAAACAATTATTCACCTCAGTGTCGGTGAAAGTGATGACCACCACTATTCACCTTCACTTCGGTGAATAATTGTTAATTATTATTATGAAGTAAAACTCGAATCTTACATTTATATGGCAAAAAAACCCAGAAATTCTATAATTTTTCTATAATTTTAATTTTTTTCCCTAAAATAATTCCTGTAGAAATTTAAATAGCCTACCTACATAATTACACTCTGTAAGCATTGAATTGAAAAGGCTCGATTTGTTAAAATGATATGAATATTTGAATTGTCAATTTTCAACCACTTTTGTTACTATTTTTAGGAATTGTGCAAATTTCAAGATGCGATATCTTTTAACTTAAATATGCTTTGAAAATACCTAATGGATTAGAATTGTGTATCATGTGGTAAGGTTTGAGCTCCACTGGATTAAAAACACAAAAGTAATGACTAATATCTCTTTTTAGCTAACAGCTGAACCAGCTCAATAAATAACTTTCTCGCGTTGTAGAACATTTGGAATTTAAAATAGCAGAATCTCCTGGAATACGTTGCTTTTTTGCTTTTAAAAGGGAATGTATGAGTCCACAATGTAACCAGCTCCCAGTTGGCTTGATAGCTCAGTTGGTAGAGCACTGTACCCGTATCGCAAAAGTCGTGGGTTCGAATCCCGTTCAGGCCTGATTTTGTATTTTCAGGCTTTAATTTCACAACTGCTTAAGTTGTGTGTATAACTGCGATGATCATGATCAATCATATCTTCATTTTTTGCTTTTGTAACTTTTCTTTTTGTTTTCTTTGTTCCTGCTTTCAGACAATTTTATTCCAGGCATTCCCTGGCTCGCTTGGCAGGCCGGGTACCAAACGAAAGTTCATTACACCCCTTCCTGGTGAGTCACTTGTTCTGCTTAACTGTACTATACTTAAATTTATTTATTTTTTGCTAAGATTTTGCTCTAGAATGTGATTTCCAATATAAAAAAGATAAATGTAGAGAGATGAGGTAATAAATTTTGATTTCGATCCTTTTTTTCCAGATTCGCTAACAACACGCATGAATGTTGGTGAAACGATATTCAGAAGAATGGAACAAGTCAACTTTTTTCTTAAGGTTAGTTTCTTAGCTATTCGTGGATAGATAGGCTAAAATGCAATACAATTGCGATAGACTAAAATTCAATAAGACGGAATGAAAATACTAAAATCACTTCATACCAATGCAGGAGTCGATCGGCTTGAGTTTTATAAACTTCACCACGCAATCCTAATTCTTAGATTTGGTGGACGAAAGCGATTTGAGCAAGAGAACACGCTCTCGAGGGATTTGCGCTCCATCTGTGGTTCTTCCTTTTGGCGTATTTTCACATCGACAAAAGTTAACAGCCCGTAAATTGTTTAGGATATTATAGCTCAAGGAATAATCTCGACTGCTGCAGCTGTGTCTTTTGTTAGCATTCTAGAGCAGAACAATACCATTTAGCGATTCTCTCTTTACAGGAAATTTTGTCTCTTGAGCACAAGGTTTCACAGTCACAACACATCAGGCGGTTTTTGACTCCAACGCAAGAGGACTTAGAACCGTTACAAGTGCCAAAGTAAGAGCAAAACACAACACAACTTATCATATTATAAATACGTCTTGGTGATCCACGATATGGTATTACCATTTTTTACTAACATAAGAGTAACCAGAAAATATTTCCATAACTAAAACCAGTTGGTTCTCTATCCTGCTCGAAATGGAATTTGGAGTTGTTGGTTTTTGTTTTGGAGGGAGGAAAACCGGAGAACCAAAAGAAAAAGCCTCAGAGCAAGGCGAAGAACCAACAGCAAACTCGGCCCGACCGGCCCACATTGCGCCAACCCTGCTCCCCAGAACAATTTGTTTTACAACATGGCAACTAAATTTACGGAATCATTAGTTCAGGGAGAAGGTCACATAATCCCATAGTTAGCTCGAAATTATCCGGCAATAACTAACGCCGTTTCTTGAGCGTTGAATAAGACAACCTGGGGACTTTCAAACGATAACATCGAAATTTTCGATATCGTTCGAAATGTTGTGAAGTCCTGTCTTTGGGTAAATTTCTTCTTGAGACTGACGATTTTAAACTTGAACTACTGATGGCATAATAAGCAACTAACTTAACTTGGTAAAATGCAGGAAACTAAAGATTAAATTTTCCACTCAGGAGGGTACGATTTAAGAAGAGAAATGGCAGACGAAGAAGTAGTAACTTTACACAGACGGTGAGAAAGCTGAAGTTTGGAAAGACCAGAGTATGTAAGTAATGGCGAGACGTTGCTGCTAATTAGAATCACATCATACTTCGCAATCGAAGTTCTACATTTTGCTACAATGATGTGGGTCAATGCACTTGTAAGTAAATGGACTGTTCCGATTTTTTATATACTGCGTATTAGCAAAATAGAATTTATATAAAGTCTCTTAAATTATCAAAACTAGTTAATACTCTAGAAACTTTACACCGAGTGACAGATATTCAGAGGTTTTCTTAATTTAACTTACTTAAATTTATTCTCTTTTATAGTTGGTAACAAGATAAGTTCACCAATAGTACTAGAGCACTTTGTGGTTATGGACGATTACAACAAGCAGGCAAAGAGTGATATTAACTTGAAGAAAGGGCGAACTGTTGACGTTATCGAAAAGAGAGAATGCGGTAAGTGTAAAAAGATTAAGTTTGACCTCAAAACGGTTTCCTGTTGCTAGGCAATGCCGATTATTTAGAGACAAACTTCGCAAATTGAAGAGGAATACACTTTGAACTGAAACTGCGTTTAGAAAATCGACACCCTCACCCGAGTTAAACGAGTAAAACGTTCGTCTGTTTTTGCGCGTTTAATCCTTTTCCCGCACAAGAGGTGTCTAAGATTCGACCCAGAAACTTCCAAACTGATGACGGTTACAACTATAAACGATAACAACTAATTGGGGATGCTATCGAAACATTTCATGACGTGCCTAACTAGAACCATATTACAGGTTGGTGGCTGGTTGAGTGTGACGGGGAAGTGGGCTGGGCTCCAGCTTTGTATCTTGAGCCCGCTGACGAGATGGCAGATGCTTCTAATGCACAGAAATTCGCTGTTGGTAGAGGTAGGATTGTAAACTTTCCTTTGTTTGAATTACGTATACCAGCCGGTTTTAAGCTATGGTTAACAACTGTTGGGTTTCGACGCCATGATTATCATGTCCATTGCTAATTATTGTTCTGTTATGCAGGTGAGATCTATGTCACATCTAAACGTTACGTTGCTGTTGAGGGAGACGAATTGAGCTTTGAAATCGGAGTCAACCTGCAGATTTTGGAAAAAAACTATGATGGATGGTGGAAAGCCTCGTGAGTATCTGAAGTTATGTGATCTAAAGTAAAGATCGCTATGATATGATATCAAATTGCACACATCGATTGCAAAAATTATCTTTACAAGTCATATTTGTGTTATTACCCCCAAAATGGTCAGGTTATGCTTAAGATTGATAACATAAGCTTTTAATTTTCTATGCAAATGTGTAGTAAGTGTCTAAAGTGAATAAAGCGTTGCTGTTGGGATTCACTGAACAGCTTACATGGACTACTCATTCATGTAAGGTTTCATCTTCACACACTCCAACTGTTTTAATGTAGTACCAGACTACTTCATCTGGGGCTGATACTGTAAAAGGGTAAATAAGGAAAATCTCGAGTGATGATTACATCATCATGACGACGACGAAAATGATGATGATGATGATGATGATGATGATGACGATCTTGTTAGCGGTGACCACGGGTCAAAGGTGTAAGTCTCATTCCAACCGTCTATGGTCATAAGGCGGGATACCTCTTAAACTGCCTTGTTCGCTTTTGTGTCAATTTTCCGCCACGTTTTTGGCTAATTATGATTTTTAATTTTGCGCTCAGATATCTTGGGAAAGAAGGCTTGGTACCTGCTATGTACTTGAAAAAGTTGGGAAATGATAGAAGGAAATCATTGGGAGGAAGAAGGAAATCAAGACTTTTTTCTTCAAATGAACTCAGGGGGGAAAGTGACGATGACGATGAAGTTATTTCAGGTAAGAAGCGAGGCAGTTACTGCGTTGTTTGGTATTGCTAGAAATGACGCACCTATTATATCATAAAGAGACTTAAGCCAAAACTATTCTAATCTTGCTACAAAATCGACAAAAATTAAATTGCTCTAAGACCTCAAGTGGGCTAAACTTATGAAAGTACTAATGACTGGTAAAACCTCGAGTAGAGACGGAGAGGGAATGCTGGACCCCTTAAGATATCAATAAAAAAGATATACACAAAGAGCTGCAGGAACGTAAATTACAGCAAAAACCATTTCATCGAAATATTTCACCTACAAAGAAATTTTTTCATCTCTGATCGATCCAATTACTACCTTAATGGGTAGAAATAGGAACTTTCTGTCCTGAACTCCCAAAGTGGCACCAAAATCTAGGAATTAAACCCCAAGAAAGGCTAAACACGTTCCAGTCCGTTTCATGTTGGCGACCTCCCCAGAGATACAAGAGACCGTCCAAGGGATTTTGCTGTATTCATGACCTGAGTGTAGATTGTCTGACAGATCAATCACCTAAATCACGAACTGATCTTGATCTTATAGTGTTTTTTAAACATATAATGACCTTTTGTCTCAAGGTTTGTAACTGCAAGTCGTCATATCCTAATTTAAAATATCTACACCTCGGCGAGCTGTTTCTGCCAGCTACCTCCGACAACCACTTATGGAGTTCCCTAGAATTCTATCAACTATTTCTCATTATTAAAGAAAATAAAATGATAATTTATGTTTATTCTTACAGAAATACCTGAAGAAGAGAAAGA